ACACTATCCCCCCTCACAGGGATGGGGGTGCCAGTCTCACACTATCCTCCCTCACAGGGATGGGGGTGCCAGTCCAATATTTTCATCACCAGACCTGGTGATACACCCTTTGTACTCTAGTGCTACAGCTGCCATCATCCTTAGCTGCCATGGCCATGGGCGACCAGTGCTTCAGAAGTGTTCAGTTGGAGATCAGGCTCATAGGAAATGACAGCTGGGCAACCCAAAAGCCTGTTTCGGCACACACACTAGTGATTTACACCATCTTTTGGAGTAGGTGGCCATAATACATTGGCCTTAGTAAATGTAATAAATCATCATCTTCATCCAGCTGTGGACTTTTAGGAAAGAAAGCCTGTCCTTGGTACTGCAATATTGGTACAACCTGGTTAATCTGGAGGCCTCTAGTTTAGAATAATTATTCTCAACGTTGGCAACTTTAAGTGGTATACAGGGACTCCCAGAATTCCCTAGCCAGCATATGTCTCAGGGACGATTAGAACCAGTTTCCCTTTTTGCAGCCCTCCTGACTGTGAGAGAGGGACCCCCAAGTCCTCTCACAGAAGAAGAACCTAGAACCTGTCTCTCCCTGGTGCCATCCCAACACTTCTACTACTAGACCAGGCTGAGAGAGAGGAACTGATCCAGAGATCCCCTGGGATCATATGTGGCTGAAGGGGAACTTAGAACCTGGGTGTCCCTGGTGCAACATTTTCACCATCAGACCATGCTGAGAGGGAAGAATTGGCCCACAGTTCCCAAGGGAGCATCCTTAGAACCTGGGTCTCCCTGATGCCAGTCCAACTCTTTCACCACTAGACCAGGTTGAGAAGGAAGAATTGGTGCACAGTCCCCAAACAAGCTCTCATTGCTGAAGGGAAACCTAGAACCTGGATCTCCCTGATATGAGCCCAGTATTCTCACCACTAGATCCTTATGGGAAAAACTGGCCAACCGTTCCCAAGGGAGCATCCATGGCTGAAGGGGAACCTAGAACCTCATTCTCCCTGGTGCCAGCCCAACTCTTTCACCACTAGACCAGGTTGAGAAGGAAGAACTGGGTCACAGTCCTCCAAAGAGTTTCCGTGGCTGATGGGGAACCTAGAACCTGGATCTCCCTGATGTGAGTCCAACATTTTCACCACTAGACCATTGTGGGAAGAGTTGGCCCACCGTTCCCAAGGCAGCATCTGTAGCTGAAGGGGAATTCAGAATTTGGATCTTCCAACTTCTACTCAAGCAGTATTACTCAACTTGGTTCTCCATAATCCCTATTCTTACAATATTATCGTATAGTGAGATATTAACTAGAAGAAATCCTGTCCTCCCTTCTCAAAACAGTGTCTGGACATGGCGAAATCCAATCAAGGTCAATGATTTTGATCACCTGAGGGCAGGACAAGAAGCAATGGGTGGAAACTAATTAAGGAGAGAAGCAACGTAGAACTAAGGAGAAATTTCCTGACAGAACAATTAATCAGTGGAACAACTTTCCTCCAGAGGTTGTGGATGCTGCAATGCTGCAAGTTTTTAAGAAGAGATTGGACAACCATTTGTCTGAAGTGGTGTAGGGTTTCCTGCCTAACCAGGGGGTTGGACTAGAAGACCTCCAAGGTCCCTTCCAACTCTGTTATTCCATTCCATTCCATTCCATTCTATTCTATTCTATTCTATTCTGTTCTGTTCTGGTTTATGCCTACAAAAAATCAAGATTCACGTGAAGGAAGCCCCGCATTGTAAGTTAATTACAGGGCAAGCCTATAATTATAGATGTGAGTCAGAAAAAAAACCTGACCCCTCACAAGCACAAGTTGGAAATAGCACATGGATGGTTTCACTGAAACTTTGATTTCTTTTTGGTTTTTGTAAAGGAGATAAGTGCCTCAGATCATTTGTATCTCCAACACTTTCTGGAGAAATTAGGGGAAGGAAAAGAAACAGAGTGCTCTGGCAACATATCTGAGCATTTTTATTGTTGTTTTGTGGAAATGATTCATTGTATTATTATTTTTTGTAAAAATTCTTGGTTTGCAAAATAAATAAGCTGTGCTATTGGAAAGACTCCCCTACAAGAGGATGATTCAACCCACCCACCCCCCTTTTCACCAACTCTGTTTGGAGAAGAGAGGGTTTTTTTAAACCCTATATTCACCGGCTGCTTTCATTCATCTTCACCGGAGCTACTGCTAAAAGAATAATTAAATGGCTAAAATTGGTCACAAGCTTATTCTTGTGATGCCCTCTTTGGAAAGCAAGCAGATCAGTGCCTATATCACATATCCCAAAGGTGCTTTTTTTTCCAGGAGGCAATTGGACTTTCTTGTTTTTCTGTTTGAAGCCATTTTGCTTCTCATCCAAGAAGCTTCTTCACCTCTGACTGGATAATGGGGAATGGAATCCTGTCAGAGCTGAAGAAGCTTCTTGGATGAGAAGCAAAACCTCTTCAAGAGAAAATACAAGAAAGTCCAGTTGCCTCTTGGAAAAAAAAAAAGCACCTTTGGGACAACCATGACCTGGGTGACAGAATCTCTAAAGACTTTAAAAGATGGTTTGCTTAACCACAGCTTGTTGTCTGAACCAGGTTTGCTTGGATTCTATCAATGCGTTAAGCGAGGGCCCTTCAAATTTGACAGATTTAAGACTTGTCGACTTCAACTCCCAGAATTCCCCCTCCAGTCATGTTAGCTTAGGAATTCTGGGAGTCCACAAGTTTGAAGACCCTTGCACTAAGCCATTGTTTCTCAACCTTGTCCACTTTAAAACCTGTGGGACTTCAACTCCCAGAATTCTCCAGCCAGCTGGGAATTGCAAGTTCCCACTTCTTAAAGTTACCAAGGTTAAGAAACACTGCACTAAGCCCCCATCATCCCATTTGGAGGTGAGGGCTATATCTCCTCTGTAGCCCGGCAAATTGCATCATTGAATGTGATGGTTGGAATGGCCTGGTTTCTAAGTCTGTCCATTGGGAGTGGGTTTGTTTGAAATATAAGGTTTATTTGAAATGAAAAGCTTCCATCCTTAAAATTCCCCACCCCCAAATCTTCTGAAGAGCTGAACCGAAATTTTTAGCTCTGCTAGGAAAGTTAGCTAGGCTGAACTGGGGTATGTTCTAAAAAAAAGAAACGTCAAACAGTGACCACAACTATTTGTGTCTAAATGTCACCACACACTTGTCAAAGGGTGGAGCTTCAATCATAAGGTGTTTTTTTTTAATTTGTGTGCGTATGTTTTAATCTTTTTAAAGTTTGTGTGTTTTTGTTTTATTTTTTAAAAAATTATTGATTGATTGCATTTCACCCTTCTTATGCTGATCTAGATCTGTAATAAAGACTTAACTTTGATCATGTTGCAGGCAAGAGCTGTGGTGGCGCAGTGGTTAGACTGCAGTACTGCAGGCTACTTCTGCTGCCTGCCGGCTGCTTACAATTTGGCAGTTCGAATCTCATCAGGCTCAAGGCTGACTCAGCCTTCCATGCTTCCAAGGTCAGTAAAATGAGGACCCAGATGGTTGGAGGCAAGAGGCTGACTTTGTAAACTGCTTAGAAAGGGCTGTAAAAGCATTGTGAAGCGATATATAAGTCTAAGTGCTATTGTTATTGCTGTAATCTTGATTTGTTTTGACCTGGTTACGGACACCTTTGGGTTTTGCTCTGAAAGCTTCCTGAGAGCTTGGCTGATTAGGAAAATTAGTTTGTTCTTGCTTAAGCCATTTACAGTGTGGGGCGGTGAGTACATGATGGACTGTATTAAACTAATCCCATTCTGGTCTCAGCAACCATTTGCTTTTAACAAACTCACCCTATGAAACAGAAACTGAGCTTGTTGATTTGCAAGATGGTGCAGGAAGGACAGCATTGGGAAAGTAGAAGAACCATGGAAAGCTGGACTGAAATTCACAACTAGCTTTTGGTGAAATTCAGTGGGCAATGGTGGCCATTTCCTCTTTCTCAGCAGATCTTCATGGGACTTTCAGCAACATAATCCCTTGAACATTTGGGAGGAAGGATTGGGGGAGGCATTGGAAATATATTTAGAAACCAACTGTGATGACCTGGGGCGAGGCACAAAGGCAACACAGTCACGTAAGTAAGAAAAGTCCCTTTCATACCTCCAACTTTGCTCCCAATGT